CTCACCTACCTTCACACCCACACGGCCACAATTACCATCATCGCCAGGACCTGCCCTCGCTCCCGCGCCAGGCGCACATGGTTGAAGACTTCTTCCGGATGCACTACGAATTTCTTCGCTCGATGCCGCTGCAGATTCTTCAGTTTCCGCTGCTTGACCAGATCCTTGATGTGCGAGTGCCACAACCGTTGTTGTTGTTGTTGTTGTTGGTGTTGTTGTTGTTGTTGTTGTTGTTGTTGTTGTTGTTGTTGTTGTTGTTGTTGTTGTTGTTGTTGTTGTTGTTGTTGTTGTGAGGGCTTTGGTGTCGCATCAGTTGTGGTGTTGGATCATACTTTTGGTCTGATACTCGTTGTCGTGTTTGTGTCGCGCCTGCGTCTTGTTTGTGTACACAGGACAGCCACCATTATTGCTTTGTGATTCCATTTTCATTTCACCTCACATCACACCTCCCTTGCCTTGCAACTTGTTCTCGTACCACCACGCCCACCTCCCCCTACACCAACACCACCACTGTGCAGTTGTCGCTGCATGCGGTGCTGGTCCCGTCCTCCCACGCCACGGAGCCCGTCTTCACGTTTCTCGCCAGCCTCTGGTCCATGCACTACAAGGGCCTCTCCGATGAGCAGTTTGTACACCAAGGTGCGATAGTTGGCGGTGATGGTGGTGGTGTTCCTTGAGAATCATGTTCTTGCTCTTGTTCTTGTTCTTGTTCTTGGTCTTGGTCTTGGTCTTGGTCTTGGTCTTGGTCTTGGTCTTGGTCTTGGTCTTGGTCATGTTCACATTGTTCTCTTGTCGGTTGTATTCCACTGTACCCTGTCCCATCCAATCAATGCTCCCCCTACCCTACATTCAACGCTCATCCCCACCTCATATCTCTTCTTCCCGTCATCCCCTCCGACGTGCGTCACAACAGAGGAGGTGCAAGCGCGGTTGATGCAGCTGCTGCAGACCAAAGGCGAAGCGCTCACACACAAACTCATCGAGGCACTATCAGGTGAGACGCAGCATATGCCAAGCACGGATGAAATGATGGGGTCGACGGATGGGAGCATTGCCAAGGGCTTCGTTGAATTGCGGTCGTGAATGCGTGGCTGTGGTTTCGCTAACACACGCACCCACACATAACGTGCGTTCAGGCGGGATTGTGTCGTCGAATGCGCGGGACATTGCGGATGTGTTGTGGGCGATGATGGAACTGCAGCAGGACGCCATCGCCTCCTGGGCAACCGGCGCACCATGGTCAGGCAGCAGTGGTCACGCGATGGTGGTGGTGGTGGTGGTGGTGGTGGTTGCTTGTACGCTTGTGTGACCGTGTTCACTCTGCGTCACACACACACACACACACACACACACACACACACACACACACACACACACACACACACACACACACACACACACACATGCACTACCCCCTTTTCTTACCCCTTCTCTTACCCCTTCTCACCCACACGCATGATCTAACACCCCCTCCCCCGGCTCACAACTTGTCAGCCTTGCGGAGGTGCCACCGAACAAGGCGCAGGCGCGCCACATCCAAGACATGTTGACGGCGATTGCGACAGCGACAGATGTGCGCGCGTTTGTGCGCGAGATGAAATATTACGCGCGGCTGTTTGATGCTGAGAAGGACGAGCCCGTTGGTAACGGGTCGTAGCGTCGTGTAGCGTGGGAAACATGCATAGGCTGACACGTGTTTGGTTGTTGATGTTGTGTTTTGTTGTTGTTGTTGTTGTTGTCGTCGTCGTCGTTGTTGTTGTCGTCGTTGTTGACGTTTTGTTGTTGTTGTTTGTTGTGTTCAATGGCTGCGCACACATTATTATGCGTGCACACGTTGTGTTTGCGGTTGTAGGCAGATAGTCTTGTGATGGCATCACTTTAACCCCAACTAAACAAAGCAACGACGGTGAACTGGCTTGAACACAAGCCGCAGCACGCTGCCAGAAAGTGTGGCATGTGCTTCGAACGGAAGGCTGCTATATTGCTTGGCGAATGAGAGCACTGCACTCGCACACAATTGGCGGAGAGTCAACCCATCAGGTGCAATGTTGTGGAACAAACAACAAAATGCGAACAGACGACACCGCGCTGCGAGTGCATACCCACGCACAAAACACGCTGCACATGCACACACACACACACACGCATGTCAATCTAATGAACAACAACAACAGCAGCAACAACAAGTCATGTTCGATCCACACTGCAAGCCGACGAACACAGCAGTGACAACCACAATCACAACAAGCCGCCATCACCACCACTATCATCACGAGGTGAGCTGCGGGGAGGTCATAAAGAGGCGTGTTTCGGACTTCTTGATCCATTTCAACAGCGCCAACACAGACGCTGTCACCGTCTGCTTTGTGGCAAGCGCATCAAACACCGCATACAGCTCAAACGTCGCAGTCGCCTGCACGAAGGTGTTGGTGTGTATTTATGTATGTGTGTGTTTGTGTGTGTTGTTATTGTGCATGCATGTGTGTGTGTTGTTATTGTGCGTGCATGTGTGTGTGCGTGCATGTGTGTGTGGTGTTATTGTGCGTGCATGTGTGTGTGCGTGTGCGTGTGTCAATTGAAGCGTCTCGTCGTCAAGAAATGCAAGGGCGAGTGTCTCACGCGCACACACACACACGCACGCACACACGCACGCACACAAGCGAGCACTCACCCATCCCAGCACGGCCTCCTGCAGCGATGAGCGGAAGAAGAGCTTAACGGGGCGATTGTTGGCGTGCATTTGACTCTCCACGTGCTGATACAGGCAGAACAACCTGAGAAAGTAGCAATGCGCGCGCATGTGTGTGTGTGTGTGTAGGTGCATGTCATGCTCAAGAAACGTGAAGGCGTGCACCATGTCACACATCACCTCAACAACAGCATCGCATGCACGACCATCTCGCACCTTCTCTCCTCGTCCGGCTCCGAGTACGGCGGCTCCAGCGCCGGCACCGTGAACTGGCGGAGGCGGTGACGAGTCCACATCAATGTGAATGAGGGGTCAGGGACAGCAGCATCATGAGTGAGAGAGAGAGCACGAGAGAGGGAGAGATTGTGTGTGTGTGTGTGACAGAGCGACGTGAAGAAGTAGATCCGTGCATGACCGTGAAAGTTGGGAACGCAAGACAGGCAGGAGGGGAACGCGGTGCGACTTTGGCACACACACACACACACACACACACACACACACACGCACACACACCTGGTTTGTCTTGATGTGTTTGTACACAAAGTGCCGCAAGTCAGGGATCTTCAACGTCGCTGTGAAGATGGGATGAATCGTGCGTGTGTGTGTTGTGTGTGTGCGTATGTGTGTGTGTGTGTGTATGTGTGTGTGTGTGTGTGTGCAATGAAAGAGGATCACCGCATCAGCTGTCAATGCAAGCACAAGCACAAGCACACACAGTTGCCCCCAATGCCCCCCATCCCTCGACCAACGCATGCGAACGTACAAACTCTGAAGGATTCTGCTCTGACGGCGCGAAGAACACCGGCAAGCAGTTTGCTGTCGGCCAGGGACTGGTGGTGGTAATGGTGGTGGTGGTGACGGCGGTGAGGAGGAGGGGGAGGAAGGAGGAGGAGGAGGAGGATGAGATGAATGACACGAAAGAAGACGCAATGTTGTCATTTCCACGCATAGCAGACGTAACCACACACACACACACACACACACACACACACACACACACACACACACACACACACACACACACACACACACACACACACACACACAAACACACACGCGCGCATATTTGTAGCCTCACCGAGACAATTTCATTACGGCAGGTTGAGAGGGTTTTAAACGCGTCCTGCTTGTTGGAGAGGAGGAGGAGAAATATTCCTTCTTCCTCGTGCAAGTATGTCACGTGCGCGTGCATGAAACCGGACGAGTTGAAGTGCGGAAGACAGAGCGGCATCCACGTCTCTCCGACATCAAACGACCGCGTTGGCGTCTGCACCACATTCAACATCAGCAGAATGTCTAGTGGCGCACGTTGGTGTTGGGGATCCGGGTGTGGGGCGATGGGGTGAGCAAGGATGGAAGAGGGGGCCCAGCAACACAAGTTGGTATTGCAGTACACCACTGTTTAACGTCGCACAACATTCACACACCAAATACACACACTGTTCACAACACACCACACATCACCACCATGTCAACCACGGCCACCACCACAATCACCACCACAATCACAACCACGGGCACCTTGCGGTTTCAGCGGGAAGCGGCGCGGGCGCATGAGGGACATGACTTTGCCGTTGCCGACAACAAGCGCAAACACGACCTCCTGTTGCCACGACGGTGAGGTGCGGTGATGTGATGTGAGGTGAGGTGATGTGATGGGTGGTGGCGTTAATACATGGTGCACGGTGAGGATGTGGGGAGGATGGTCAGTTGACGAGAAGAAGCAAGCAGCAAACGCAGGTATGGTATCCCCCGCAAACACAATCTATACACACACCACCACCACCACCACCACCACCACCACCACCACGAGCAGCAGCACCAAGCCACCTTACCCACCTTCTGCTTGTGCTGCTGGATGAGAGCGCCAAGTTTGTCGCGAACGGACGGATCCATTGGCAGACACTGATACGCATTGAGGAAGAACGCATAGTCGCTGGGGTGGGAATTGGGAGGGGTTGGAGAGAAGGGTGGGTGGGGTTAGAAAGTGGCGACTGCATGAGACGATACGCGTGAGTGAACACGAAACGCAATGCTGGAACAAGCAAAACCGCACTTGTGGCTCAAGTTCACCACCACGCCACACTGCATGACCACAGTATCACCACACAACTCACGCTTGGAGCCGGTCGATGAGATGCTCTGTAAACTTCTCCATGCCGGCGAGATGGCAGCGCAGATCGTAGTTGGACCAGCGGTGGAACGCGCGCTGGATGTGGCTCAGGGTCGTGATGGACAGTAGCTGGCTGTACACGTACTCAAGCTGCTGCTTCAACTGTGTGCGTGTGTGCAGGGGGGGGGGTTGATTCAGGTGTAAGTTGAAAGAGTTGCAATGGCAGAGAAACATGCGCGTACCCATTTACTCGTTCACTCATTCACTCAGTCACACACACACACAAGCTTACTCACTCATTCACTCACTCACACTCACACACACACACACGCACACACACACACACTCATTCACACTCTCTCACTCACTCACTCACTCACTCACTCACTCACTCACACACCACATCACCACGCACGTGTTTGACGGCTTCGCCGGTCTTTGAGACCATGAGCAGATACAGCGGCGAGCGGACGAGAAACACAAAGTAAAACTCCCCAGCCTTGAACCACCTGCATAATTGGGAGAGGTATGGGTGAGGGGATGTCGAATGGCAAGCAAACGAGTAGCAAACGAGCGTTTCCAGCACCAATACCCACACAACACAGCACACACACACACACACAACACACACACACACATACACAACACACACACATACATACACAACACACACACACAACACACACACACACATACATACACACACACAGCGCGTACATGAGTTCATCGCGTTCGTCCTCTGTCATTTCCTTTTGCTGGCGGAAGGGCACAGAACCGTGAGTGCCGTCCGGGCGCCTGTAGTTCTCCTCAATGAAGGAGATCAGCGCTTGGATCACGCCAGCCCGCGTCACAATCATGTCCTCGCTCCCGTGCCTGTGACAGCATAGCACACACGCAGAAGTATGAGGACATGCACGCACGGACGCACGCATGCACGGACGCACGCACACATGCGTGAGAACATGCATGTACGTGCCCAACAGCGAGATGCAGCGAAGACTGGCATGAGCAAACACCGCAATCGTCAAGCCTCACCTGGTGTAGATGGGCTTTCCCGCATCACTGAGGATGATGATGTGTTTGTCCTCTTCTACCCACGATGCCTCCTCCAGCGCAGCATCTGTTGTGAGACGGTGGATCACACCGCAGGCCGAAGTTTAGGCAAGGGCTTGAGAATGGGCGAGCAAAACGATGGTGCCCACGCACAAACAGAAACACGCACACGTATACAGCCACACATACACGCACACAAAGGAACTCGCACACCAAAGCGCGCACACGCACACACACACACACACACACACACACAACAAAAAACAGAGAGTCTCTAACGATGCGGCTTTGCAGCCGTCATTTCGAAGACAACGGTATGAGACGGTTAGCAGATTTTTCTAGTCACACAGCTGGCACCAAGAGGTCCGATCACCGCGGGTCTGTGTATAATGCCCAGGTGCATGCCAATGTAGCAAAATCATTCAAGTTCCACATTCTTCCGCTTCTTCTAGGATGACCTGTAATTTCGGGTATTTCGGGCTATTAGTCTTAGTAGGTTACCTCAGACCGAGCAGAAAAGTTGGGGAACTAGATTAGTGTCGCACATACACGCACACAAAGGAACTCGCACACCAAAGCGCGCACACGCACACACACACACACACACACACACACACACACAAAAAAAAAAAAAAAAAAAGCCTTTCCCCCCTCCCCACACACACACACACCTGTCCTTTGTGGCTCCTCGGTGTCATGTCGAGAGGTGATGGAGCTGGCATGTGAACGGACTGTTGGGGAGCGCCCTTGCGACAGCTCCTCGTAAGCACGTCGAACATTGCTGCCCGCGCGACTCCGCTTTCCCTCACCCTCGCCAGCACGGAAACTGTTCCCTCTCGAAGCACGTGCGTCCTCGCCTCTGTCACCCTCTGTCATCGCATCGTTCTCGCCCGCATCATCGTCGTCCATGTCCTCGTCATCGTCGTGCTGGTTGAACGAATCCTCCATGTGAAATACCACGTCCGGCTTTGACAACTCCAGCGGGTTGTCATCCTCGTCCTCGCCGCCAAGCTCACCATCACCACCATTGCCACCTTCGCCGTCGTCATCCACGTGTGCTCCGGGCTCCCCATCGAGATCCAAGCCCTCACTCTCCAGGGTCAGCCGCCGCTCCAGCTCCTCCAGCTCCGTCGCATCAGCGAGGTGCTGCTCCTGTTGGCTGCTGCTCATCCTCTCGCCTTGGTGTTTGTTTGTTTGGCCTGAAAATAGGCCACCAGCCTGATTCCAGTAGTGGCTTGCCAGCAGGAGCAAGCAGGACAACAGCGCAGTCATTTCAACCACAACAACACAAGCACCCTCACATCCTCACATCCACCCTCCCACATAGCTTCTCTTAGATATCCACCCTTCCACCCTCCCACATCCAAGCATCCACCTCCCCCACCAACCCCTCCCCCGAACTCCCAAACATACACAGCACACTGCACACTTCACATGTCCTGCGACAGCAGCAGCGTGTGGGTGCTGGTTGCAGAGCAACTGCTCATGTCCAGCATGGCCTCAACCACACTAAGAAGAATTCCCTTCGTTTGTAACGCTGTAGCAGATTGGGATGGTCTCGAAGACCCTTTGGAGGACGCAAGTGTGTGGACGAAGAAGCATGTCCATGAAGTGAAGCGGGACACTGCGCGCGCCTTTGTCAACCTCATGCTGACGTGCCGTCAGCTGTACCACGACCTGCCATGGGCCATGCCAAAGTGGTGCCTGGCTGATGTGCTGAGCACACACGTCTGGCGGATGGCCATCGCGCGTCGTGATCTCAAGATATTCATTGACGCGTTCCAGAAAGGGATTGCAGGCGCTCGTTCGCCGTTGTGCCCTCATGCGAACACGCCGCTACAGATCCTCGAGCAAAAAGCAGGCCCACCGCAGCGATCAAGCCGTCACGACCGCCCAGCTTCCAGTCGGGGCGTTTGGCTGGAGAACCGCTTCCTCGTGTACAGCTGGCTCGGTGCAACTTGGGACAGTGAATGTGCCTTCTTACGCACGAGGCTGAGGTCTCCTTTAGCGCTGGCTGACTTTTGGCGCTCCTTCGCCCGCTTTGGTCGCGTCTCCTACGCGTCACTTGGGAACCTGGAGGCTTGGTGTGGTACGCAGCCTGACCGCTCGGGTGCAGCTGACCACGACCACACCGCAAGTCATGATGGCTCTGACCAACAGAGCCAACACGTTCCACAGTCCAAGGGTGACAAGGAGGATACGCCTGCCCCAATGGACTCACGCACAGACCCATCCGACACGCAGTCCCGCCACACGGTCGGAGGAAGTGAAACGCACCCAATCAACGCCACCCCCGCGCTGTTTTCCCTCGAAGCCAACTTGAATGATCAGAGAGATGCCGACCGCTTCCACGAACTGCGCACGCGGGCTTTGGGAAATGCGCGTGGAGATCGCGTCGCGCTTCACGTGAAAACGTCGCTCTCGTCACTGTCTGCGTGCAACATCAACGAGCTCACAATTCGCTCCCTGTTCGCCGAAGTCGAGCAGATGAGACTGTCCACCGTGCAACGCGTGCACTGGTTCGCGAACAAGCAGCGGCAGGCCATTCACGGCAACATCCACAACGTGCGCCGGTTTGACACTCACCACTCTGTTCCACTCGACGCGGACAGCGCCATCGCCAGCGTTCCCTGCATTCAGCTGGATGACAACGCCGCTGCTGATCTAACGCCCCTGCACCGCGTGACCAAGCTTATCCTCAACAAGGTCTGTGTTACCAATGGACTTTCTGTGGTGGCATCCGCTCAAGACATTGAGCTCCGCGATATGCCGCTGAGCAGCAGCGTGCACACTCTCAACGCCACCCGTGTCAAGCTGCTGCGGTTGAGTAAGGCGCCAAACACGCTGCACCTCCCCCAGGCAAGCCGCATTGAACTAATTCATGCCGGGGTGCGGCGGATTACGTGCCCTCCAATCCTGCGCAGATTGGTGGTTCGGGATGACACTGGCTCTTCACCTCCCGTGCCCGAATTCCATCACGCTGACACAGTGTTGCTTGATTTGCGGTACACGCGCCTCAGCCGTGAAGAGCTCGCCAACCTTGCACGCCGAGTCAGCAGGCTGGAGCTCAGTGGCGGTGTGGCTAGTATGCGCGACTTGGCCGGCATTCCATCCCACGCACATGTCAGCCTCGAGAATGTCTGTGTGGATGCGCCTGTGCCACTGTGTGTGAAGCACCTGCGGATCTCAATCGCGGAACGCCTCGACAGCCAGCTGGTGGCAGCGGTACCAGAGTTGTTCATTGACGGCCACTTTACCTATCCGCGCATCGACAACGTGCACCTGCTCTCTGGTCGCCAGAACCTGCGCATCTCATGTGCCTCCTTCAATGGGGACATTACGCATTGTACTCGCGTGTGGCTTGGCTTCTGCCACGGCCGAGGTACCTTGGCCTCCATCAGTTCCCTGACCGTGGAGGGCGCAACTGTGGGCGTGTCTGACTTGCGCGTGTATGACACGCCAACATGCCGCCTACGCTCCTGTGCCATTGAGGACAGTGCGGGCCTGCAAGGTATCCACACGCTCGTGCTCGCTGCATGCACGTTTGATACCTTGGAGGGCCTTTCGTCTGTGCGCTGCCTCGTGGTTCACAGGTGCACGACGCCAGACAAAGTGTGGCTCTGGCCTGACACGGTTTTTGTGAACCGCCCTCTCGAGGAGATGACACGCTTGCTGGTGGCTGGCAAACACAGGAAACCCACGTGACACACAACTGGAGGGAAGGACCGATGGCGGGTAGAACGGAGGCGGAAGGGAGGCGGGAAGGAGACGGAAGGGAAGTGGGAAGAGACGGAAGGGAACTCGGGGTATTGAATATCCGAACCTCGCTCATTCCAGCGCTTGACTGGGTGGGGGTTGTGAGCCTCCTCAATTTTGTGGTGTTCTAGTCAACTTTGGTTGCTTGACGTCATGGAAGGGTTGGTAGTTTGGAAACGCCTGCATGCTTCATATGCGCTGCTCGCGGTAAGGATATTGTTGCACAAGAGTACCTGAGGGCTGCATGTAGGGTTACGCCAATTAGACGTTTTGTTTTGTTGTTGGGGTTGTACAAGTTGAAAACAGTGCATGCGCGACCCACTGACTCGCATCTTCTCTTCTGTTGATGTGTGACGTGAAATGATGGAAAGGCATAAAGTGTCTGGCCGTCTCTCTTCCAACGCTCAACTGCGAGCTCGTTGATTACATACTTGCAGTTTCTAGGCTTCTCAGTCTTTGTTCTCATGCAGGTGAGGTGATGTGGCAGCCCCATAAAGTGCACACTCCAAGACTCCTCGCACCTACGAGACACAAACGCTGCCGCGTCTCTCACGCAAAACTTTTCCCAGTACACCATCCTTCAATGGAATGTTTCGTTGGACATGTATGACGTGATGTGGTCCGGTTGGGTTGTGGCGCAGGAAGACGGCTATGCTGTTGTGATGTGACTGGTGTGCGTTTGTGTGTGTGTGTGTGTGTGTGTGTGTGTGTGAGTGTTTGACTGCGACTTGGAGTAAGGTCTTGCTGCATTCTGTGCGGGACACGTGGTCGCAATAAAGAAGACAAGGTGATAAGATAAGTGACAACAATCAAGCACGGGGAATACAGACAGGCACAATGTGCGAGGGAGGCCAGCAAGGGTTCGGATCTAGTGGTGTTTGTGTCCTCGGTCAGGAGGAGTTTCGTCTTGTTGTTTGGTTCAGAATCTGATGTGCTGATCTTGCGCGGTTTGCTTGCATGCGTGCTCATGCTGTGTTATGTATTCATCAGACAGATAAAAAAGAGCGCCAACACCATCAGACAAAGACCGCAATGGGGAACTGAGACGAAACGAAGCACTGAAGAAGCGCCCTCGTGTGGTGTTAAAGAAGGTACAATGCACAGTCAAACACGAGCACCAGGACCCCACTTGCAACTCGTGTTTGATGAGGATGACGAGCGAAGAACCCGAGAACCAATCAGGCCAAGTGGCAAACAACCACCAAGCGGTGTAAGAATGCCACGCGGCAAAACAACCACACACATCCATCCAGTCCTACACAAAACACACACACACACACTTGCCTACAACGTACACAGACACAGAGGCACACACGCACACATAAACACAACAAGCAAGCAGCAGCAATGAGGACAAGAGCCATGACAGAAAACAAAAGCACAGAGGTGCGATTGATCCAGACAGTGCCACGATTGTGCGAACAACACAAGTCAGCTCACGCGCACGTTGGCTCGATCACCAAGAAGGCGGAGGAATAGCCTGTTGTCGAGTACACAGCACCATTGTCAGAGGTGCTGGCGTAGTCGCAGTATTTAGCTGGTGAGGATGCTTGCATGACTTGCAGGGTTGTTGGGTCCACAGCGAGGACGGTTGAGGCACTCGACGGGACCATGTACACAAGGCCATCTGAAGCAGCAGCGCCACCGAGCCACTTGAAGGTGCTGGAGCTGAGGCCGGTGATGCTGGTGGTGTCGACGCTGTCGTCGCTTGGATCCACAATGAGTACGTAGGTGGCGCACGAGGGAACGCCAAAGAGGAGGCCATTTGGTGCTGCGACAAGGTCCGCGAAGGCTTTTTCGAAGGCTGGGGTGGCAATGGTGGAGATGGCGTTCGTGTCGGGATCGACGACGAGGACGTTGTTGCTGTTCCACGGCGCCATGAAGATGCGGCCGTCAGCAGCTACCTCGGCACCAATCCACTTGTAGGTGACGCCTGGTGCGTAAGCAGACACGTCGATGCTGGTGTCTGCGGTGCCGGTCGCGGCGTCGATGATGAGGAGCTCGGATGCGCGATAAGGCGTGCCGTAGACCTTGCCGTTGGCAGCAGCGGCCCCGCGGTAGCAAGCGCTGGAGCAAGACGTTGAAAAGGTAGTGGTGCTGAAGCTGTTGTCGCTGGTGTCAATGATAAGCGCGATGTTTTTCAAATGATATGGGACGCAGATGGCGTATCCGTCAGAGAATGCGCCGCCGTACCAGTTCAGGTTCGTGCCGTATGCAGACACATCAATGGCTGTTGCGTTGACGCTGTCGTCGCTGGGGTCAATGGTCATCACATATGTCGATGAACCAGGGCACGCGTACCCAATGCCGTTGGAAGCGAACATGACGTCTGTCCATTTTGACTGACCAACTGTTGCTGTGCCGGCTGTGGTGACAGTGGTTGTACAAGTCGTCGTTGTCGTTGTCGTTGTTGTTGTTGTTGTGGTGGTGGTTGTTGTTGTTGTTGTTGTTGTTGTTGTTGTTGTTGTTGTTGTTGTTGTTGTCGTCGTCGTTGTGGTCGTCATGGCTTCCTCCACGTTTGTGACTTTGCACCGATGAAAGCGAAGCTTGCACGACTGCAGAGCCGTCACAACCTGTCGAGGGTGATGTGATGCGTGGTGTATGATATGTGTGTGCATATGCGTACATGCAGATGAGTGTGTGAGTTGACCATGCAACAATGCAACAATGCAGTGCAGTGACAAGTGTACAATACATGCGCGTGCACACATCTCACGTCCCTCCAGCTTTGCGATTACCCACCCCTTCATCTCTGGCGGCAACGGAAAACTCGTTGCTTGAGAGCGGCGTCACCGCGGAGCCGTCCTTGAGCGACAGTGCGCATTCCTGCCACAGAACCAATAAACCAGAGCAGGCATCAACAATGTATGTGACAAGAGCAGCACGGCACCTTCCCTTGTGCCTGTTCACTACAGAAAGCACGTGAAATGTAATTGACTGCACACACAGCAAGCCACCATCAACACCACTGCCGACAAGAAGAATAAGAAGAAAAACAACAAGCAAACAACCAACCAGCAACAACAACAACAACAACAACAACAACAACAACAACAACAACAACAACAACAACTTAAACAACAACAACAACAACAACAACAACTTAAACAACAACAACAACAACTTAAACAACAACAACAGCAACAGCAACAACAACAACAACAGCAACAACAACTTAAACAACAACAACAACAACAACAACAACAGCAACAACAACCAACCAACCAACAACAACAACCAACCAGCAACAACAGCACCGCCACGGTCACGTACGTCAAGGCCGCAGTCGTCCTGGATGGCGTCGCGCAGCTGCTGCGAGAACTTGTCGAGCTGAGCGTCTGTGAACTGATCCAGCTGCTGCCCACGAAGACACTTGGTTGTCATCACGGCAGCTGCTGTGAAAGTCGTACCGTCGCACACGCCGGCATCTCCAGCAGCAACATATGCAACCTGCTTCAGCTTGCACTGCATGACCTCGATCTTGTTGGCGTCCAGGCAGGTCTCAATGGTTTGAACAACCTTGCAAAAGTGCGCGTTTGGGTGTTGGGAGGTGTGGTTGAGCGTGTGAGTGTGCGCGTGGATGCGTGCGTACGTGGTGGGGTGTACACAAACGCACAAAGAAGCAACGCGATCGCGCAATCACAAGCCAGAGCAAAGGAAACATGGGGGAGCGTACGGAAGCATTCTTGACAGGGATGTGAAGGGCATTGTCCAGGCCAGATACGGGGGTGATGTCAGAGCCAACAGCAGACTTCAGGTCACACTGTTAACAATGGTATGCGTGTGTGCATGTGTTTGTATTTGCGTGCGTGTGTGCGATTGATTGATTGTCAGTGTGAGGGTGTGCACGGGCATTATTGTGGATGTGATATGCTTGAGCAAACACGTTCGATCAACGCCAAAGAAGCAGGCAAGCCAGCAAGTGAGCGATCGCATTCAGATAAGAAAGCCATCGTGCTATCGTGCATCCCATTGTTCCACACTCCCAGCATACAAACTTCCCCACCACAGACGACGTACTTGGGCAAGGCCGCATGTGGATGACAGCTGGGAAGCGAGCGTGGTGGCAAACTTGTCGAGGCGGCCTTGCTTGTACTCATGGATCTTCTTGGAACGAAGGCAGCGGAAGGTGAGCTGCGCCTCACCGTCGTATGTGGCCGTGCCACAGGGGGCCAGCAGAGGCCATGGCGGCGGCCATCAGTGCCACGATGATCACAAGCATGGCTGTTCTTGTTGCCATGGTGGGACGCATGAACATGTCGATGAGAAGGGAGGAGCAAATGGTCTGATCGAAAGCGGCGGAGAAGAAAAAATGTGTTGTGTTGTACGTGCGTGCGTGCGTGCGTGCGTGGTTGTGATCGGCTTGGACGAATGAATGGTGTGTTCTTCGGGCAAAAAGGTCGCGTGTTTTGGCCCTTTGTTTGTGCTGCCATGATGTAAAACCACCGCCTGAAGTCATTTGGCCTACATGTGAGGAAAGTGAGCCAATCGTATGCCCACTACGCTCAGGCGTCATATCACAACATCACACACTGTGCCCATAAAACTGATGATGTCAAAAGAGAAACTCTGAAAATGATTTGATGCCGCCGCTGTACGTGTGCATCGTGTTGAGGATTTTACCGAGCTAGCGGCTGGCGCAGAGATGGAGGTCTGGGGAGGATCAGCAGTGCGAAATGACTAAATGAATGCATGAATGCATGAGTGCAAGCACACACCCACGTGTTGTGTGGCGCTGAGAAACACAATGACTGCTGTAGTACTGTGTGTGAAGTAGCAGTGTCAGTTATGTCATGCATGGTGGCATTGAAAGCCGAAGCAACAGGGCTCCTGGGGGTCGCTGGGGCGCTGTGTAGCTGCTCGTTGCTGCTCTGCTGCTGGTGGCAGTGGCATAGAGGCACAACAAGAGCCTGAAGTGCTGAGTGATGTGACATGCTGAGCAGAAGCAGAGCAGAGGAGCAGAGTTTCCAAGTTCTTGTGTGCGGGATGATGTTGTTTGTAGAAACATCAACCAAAACATGTCTAATTTTCGTCAACAAACCAACAATGACGACGATGGTTGTTGCGGCAAAGCAGATGATGTTGTTTGTTGTTCTGGCGCTGCTGGTGTTGGTGGCGCCATCGCCGTGCTGGGGTCAACAGCAGGTGGAGCCACAGATTGAGGCGAAAAGTGGTAGCCTTCACCTGCACGCGCAGTCTGGTGATGTACACATGCACACGAGTCTGGGCTCTGCAACGTGGACGGACACCGTCAACGACATTGGTTTGTGCTTGTGTGTTTGTTTGTGTTTGTGTGCGTGTGTGTGCGTGTGTGTTCGTGTGTGCGTGTGTGTGTGTGTGTGTGTGTGTGTGTGTGTTGTGTGTGTGTGTGTTGTTGTGTGTGTGTGTG